GAAAATACCCTTAATTCCCAAAGTGGTGTCAAATCTTGGGAACAAAATATGGAGGTTCCTAGTCCAAAGCTGATGGAAATGGAATTGTGAAAATAATTATTTGCTTTGAGGTTGGTAACTGAGTCCAAAATTTGGTGTGGAAAGAAAGATAGAAAATTGTTTCCAATTTTGTGGGCCCAGAATAATTGATAGGGCTCTTTTAAAAAAACAGCCATTTTTTGCAACTCAAGGGAGTATAGTTTTTAAGTAAAATAAAATATTTCAGTTTGGGTGTTACTAATGAATGCAAAAGAAAATGGAAAACAATGTTAGCTTCACATGAGTATTTAGGGCTATACACAGGACTGAGACCTCCATCTGTTCTCCTTATTTAATCAAAATACTGGTTTAGGTTTGTTGTTCACTGTTTCTGGAGCAAGGCCTCCAACTTGAACTTCAGTGTCTTACCAACTGTGCTGTTCTGCACGTTGTCTGTCTGTCTTTCTACTCCCTTGAAGGTGCTTCAGTATGCAAAAAAAAATTTGTCCTTCCACTGGAACAGGAGTTGGAAATGTGTGTTGCTTTGGCTACCAGAGCAGGCAATAGAAACACATTTTTCTCCTTCATGATGGAGATTTTGGTATTTCTGTGATGTAAAATGACTTCAGCAGAAGAGGTGAAGAAAAAAATCAAAATCTATTCCCTGCTTGCAAAGGGGGTTTGAATGCACATTTGCTCACCAAATGGTGTTTCCAAGGAGTGTCTAAATGGACCTTGCATGCTGAAGACTTGAAAAAGCAAAATTTTTCCCTTTCAGAAATGCCAGCATTACTCATTTTGCTAATTACAGGTTTGGGTATTTTATTTTTAACTGTGGTGTTTTTTTTTTAAAAAAAAGAAAGAAAACAACATCTGACTGGAGTTTTGCATTAGTTAAAGCTACATTTACAGCTAGCTCCCACTCCTCTGTACCTACATCTTTCACAACTAAATGATTTGCATTGAGATGGGAACACCAGGCTTTTATGAGCTTTAAACTGGACCTTTGGGATTACCAAACCTGAGAGAACCTTGAACTGAGACAGAATTGAGGCAGGAAGGCAGTTTCATCCACACCTGCTCCTGTGAAGAAGTAACAACCTCCCAAATTTCATCCTTTCAAACCTAGTTTCTACATCAGAAGTGAGATGATCAGCGCAGAGCAAGTGACAGGTACGTGTATAACACCTGGAAAAACTTCCTGCTGTGTGGAAACCATATTTGACAGATGCTTCAGAAAAGGGCTGGATCATCTGCAATTGTAATTCTGGTGTGGATTTTTTTTACAGCCATTGAACTCAGGCGGCAGATGTGTAAGGAGACGTCTCTTCCAGCGAGTGATGCTGAAGCCGCTCACTCCTTCATTTCTTTGGGGTCTAGCCTAAAGCAAGGCCCTGGCTGCCTGAGAGGACAAAGGCTGCCTTTCTGAGGCGGGATGAAGCCTGTTTTCCAGGGGGAGGTTTGCCAGAACCTCAGCTGGACCTTAGAAATGCAGCCCTCAGAAAACCTCTCCACCATTATTGCTTCATCAAACTGCTAAAAATATTGAGTGGAAAATGCAAGTATTAAGGAAATGAGGTAGATCTGGGCTTTCTGAGCTGGATGACTTCCAGTTTCATCAGCTTCCCGGAATCCTTGCTGCAAAAATGAAGAGCTCCTTGTAAATCTCAGAAATCTGTCAGTGTTTTTCCTCTCATGTGGCTGTGCTAGTTCGTGGGGTATGACGTGTGGGGAGACCTGTCAAGGTCGAGCAGTGAGCACAGAGCTCACGACTGCTGGGATCATTTGAAACAAACACTCAAGCACGAGACCAAACCACAACTTTCCCAGGGAATTATCTTACAGGGCAGACAGAGAGAGGAGGCTCCAAGGGAGCCGCATGGCTCAGCCTGCCACTGTGCTGGCTCACGAGACCTGCTCTGAGAGGGATGTATGGGGCCATCTTCTGTGGTCATGCCAAGTGAGGAGGATTGAGAAGTCTTCTTTGGTCATATGAGGTCCTGTTCTGATCCGCACGTAGCCAGAGTGCCTGAGCAAGTGAGAGCAGATTAATGTCCTGTTACAAGATATGTGAAAACAGAAAATGCAAGTTTTGGATTTCACGTTGCTGGAAAGAAGTCAGGAGAAGCCTGTATCCCGACTGCAGGAGGAGACAACAGGTACTCTTAATGAGTGGAATGTGCAACATAGAGAAGCCAAAGGGCTGGAGGTTTGCCTTTTGTGGTTAAAAGTGTACTCTCTCAGTGAGAGGCAGACAGTTTAGATTTAATGGCAATGACATACATAAAGGCTGTCTGGGAGGGTGCAGCAGGCACAGGGTGCCCTTGCACCTGCAGAAGCTCCTGCCATCTAGGTGCTCTAATGAGCATGGTGCATTATACAGCTAGCAGGAATTCCAGGCCTTCTGGAGCGGGTCCTCTGCGGCAGGGGCTGAGAAGAGGCAGGGTACCCGCTGATCTGGTCTGCAGAGCTGGCCCTGCCTTGTAGCTGTGTCCTGCCCCTGCTCCCCAGGCTCTCCATGAGGGGCTGTAACCTGTTCGCTCAATGGGTGTGACTGTTTCTGCTGGCTTGGATATAAGGGGAGGAGTATTTTGAGGTATTCCCCAAGCATGCCAGGACATGGTGGATGTTCTGGAGAGTGGGAAGACATTCACAAGGGGGATCTCCAAGCAAGTTCACCAAAACTCCCCTTCCAGTTGCACCCCCTAACAGTCAGGACTGAGAAGGTGGTTGCTGCATTTAAAACAGAACCAAGAATAAACTATGCATTCCAGCCACATCATTGCAGGTTCCTGGAAACAAGGCCTGCCTTCATGCTCAGAGGGCTTCCCTGCTCTGCCAGGAACCACAGGGAAGAGCAACAGTAGCCCTGGCTGTAAGCTGCTGCTGAAGACGTACTGTCGTGGGCATGCATGTACAATACCTCTCACTGTGCTCACCTAAAGCCCTTCCAGGACAAGCCTTTGCCCACGTGGCTTAGCAGCAATTCTCAGAAGTGGAAAAATAAATGTCTTCTGCTGAGCATCCCACCCAGAGCAAACACTGCAGCATAAGACTGGCATGGATGCTGTCCCTGGCATCCGAATTTCACTGGCCACCGGATAGCTGGTGGGCCTGCTGGGAAGGGCAGCATCACTGAGGAGGGTTGTGTTGCCATGTTGAGCTGAAGAGAGAGGATGTTATCTTGCGAGCAAGGTCTGGAGCTGGAATTCAGGAAGCTGGTGTTCTGTCTCAGCTCCAGGGGACACAGGCAAATTTCTTAACCTCTATCCCTCACTTTCCCATCTGTTCTAAAGAGACTAATAATACTTTTTCTTATCTCTTTAGGACAGGATGTGGCTCTGATTGTCTAGCACAGTGTGTCATTGATCTTTCCATGCAGCAGTGAAGTCGAGGAAGAGCTGTCTCAGGCTCCAGCCAGCCTCTGATGGTGATGTGTGTGGTAGAAACGCCAATGCACAACAGCAACTGGCCACCTGATTTTTACTTTAAGATCATAAGTGGAGGATGAACAGGATCAAGCTGGATTCAGATTTCAGCTCTCCCATAAGTTTTTGTATTGATATGGAGATGCCACTACCTATGTTACCACCCTTGTGTCCAACCAGAGGGCAAAATGGATCAAGTCCCAGCATGGACTTCATAAAGTGGCCCTGAGACCCTCAAATTTATTTATTTGATCCTTATCTGAGCATCTGAATGGCTTTGAAAGTGGCTTTGCCTCGGCCTGTAAGGTGTTCTCCCTCTCAGTAAAACAGTGATGGTAATACTTCCCTGCCTCAGAGCTGCTCTGTGGGCTCTGTGCCACTCCTGGGACAATAGGAGACTGTTCAAAAAATGAACTGTGACCTATTGGTGCTGCACAGAGCTCCCATCGTAGCTCCTTTCCTCCATCTATGATGGTGCCTAGAGCTTGTCTGGCAGCTGAAAAGCAGAGGTGCTCTAAGCTGGTATGTATTTTTAGGAGGGCATTGCCTAAGTATGCAGATGACCCTGTGCTTTCTGATCATGTTCCTGACGTGCTGGCTGCAGGCTGTTCCCTGAGGCAATCTCAAGGTCAGGCAGGCTGATAAGCTTTGTTTGGGCTCTTGTCATTTTGGCAGCTCTGCTTTTGATGAGGAGCAATCAGACTGTTAGAGGTGACGTATTGGAAAATGTGCCTTTCTGCAGCTTCTACAGTCTGGAATTTGGCTACGGGTCCCTTGTGACAGTGGCAAGGAGGTCCTCACCCCAGTGAGCACTATGGTGGCCATTCACTTCTTTCATCAGTGTCCTGCTGGAATTGATACACCTGAGAGGATTTTAAGCCTTTGCATTGTGGTGGAGGCATCCCTTGCTGGCTGAAGTTTCATCCTGCCCACGGGGTATGGTGTCAGCAGGGAGTTTCTTTTCTTCTCAGCTTTGATAACACTCCAAGTGGGATTTATCAGTCAGGCTTGCCCCAATACAGGGGAGTCTGGGAGTTAACCCCCCACCCCTCTGGAGAAAAGGGAATGTGCTCCCCCTCTGAAGACGCTTCCCATTTCTCCCTGTCTTGGGCTGCTCCCAGCAGGGCGCTTTGCTGATTCAGAGCATGGCCCATGTGGGGCACTCTGCTGCATCATAACTTGGTTACGCAATTTGACAGCTCTGGCAACCTCTGCTCCAGTGAGTCCCAGAACTCCTTGAGCAGGAGCTCTGCCAGCCAGGCTTGTGGTGTGTTTGGAAAGCCATGTGGGCGAACTCGAACAGCACCTGACCATACTAAATGCAGTTTGACAGAAAGATGTTTGCTCCTCTCTCCCTTTTGTAAGAGATGAAGCAAAAGAAAACCCCTCCTGCATGACTTCTGTTGGTTTTTTTTTTGTTTGTTTTTTTTTTTTATGATGATGGTGAGGCTTGTCCAGTTTACAGGTTAAGCTTCTGAGGCCTGGGATGCTGCCTCTGTTAGTGCTGGAGCTGCTCCAAGCACGTAGCGACTCGGTGAACAATTCTTGTTGCAGGGACTTGAAGCTGGACAACGTGCTGCTGGACTACGAGGGCCACTGCAAGCTGGCAGACTTTGGAATGTGCAAAGAGGGAATTCACAATGGCGTTACCACAGCCACCTTCTGTGGTACACCAGACTACATCGCTCCAGAGGTACAGGAAACCTTTCTTTGGCCAGGAAAGCTCAGTCACAATATGAAAAGAGTAGGGGAGCTGTGGAACAGCAATTGTACTCTCTGGTGTCTTTAGCTGCACCTTATTTGACTGCCAGGTGCAAGGTTATCTCCTAGATACATGCTTGTGTTATCAGTCTGTTGTGCAAGCAAATGAGGAAACCTTCAGGCTGCTATAGATAAGCCTATATTTTTCTTCAGGAAACTTGAGGTGAAAAATGGAGACACAGCTGCAAAAATCTTGAGAGAGGCACATACACATGCTGGCCCAGTTTACTTTGAAAGGAGATTGAATTTTCCTTTATCTCCCAGTTCCTTTTCCTGCCTCCTCCCATTCCCTGCCAATCCCCAGTCTCACTACAAAATTAATAAACACCTCTTTAAGGAACAGCTGCCCTCCAGATGTCAGGTGTTCAGACAGGATTTCAGATCCTTCTTCACACAATTGGATTTTCGTCTGTGGTTGGCATTTGTGCCTTTCTCACACGCTCATGCTCCTTCCCCTCTCCAGGCAAGAGCCCTGCTGCTGGAGCTGGGTAAGAATTTCCTTCCCAGGGGCAAGGAGAAGATGATGTCCGCCTGCACACCGGGCTGCTCTGCTCTCTCTGAGGCTCAGCTGGTTTTGCTGGAACGCCCCTTCTCCACCTCTTCAGCCCTGGCATCATTTCTAAGGCCTTGTTTTCCCAAGTGACCCTGTGAGCAGCCAAGCTAGCTCAGCCCTTGTCTAATGCACCTGATGGAGCTTTGTTGGTGTGGGGGTTCCCAGCTTAGCAGGGTGCACCTTTTGGATCTGGATGGAACTTGTGTGTTAATGTTTCCAAATGCTTTTCCCTCCACCGCTCAGTTTAAGAAGCTTCAGGGTGGACATGTCTTTCAGATCCTGCAGGAGATGCTGTATGGCCCTGACGTGGACTGGTGGGCCATGGGCGTGCTGCTGTACGAGATGCTGTGCGGGCACGCGCCCTTTGAGGCGGAGAATGAGGACGACCTCTTTGAGGCCATTCTGAACGACGAGGTGGCCTACCCGACGTGGCTCCAGCTGGACGCCGTGGCCATCCTCAAAGCGGTGAGTCCCCTTGGCTGCTGGCCTGCTCCCCGTCCTGCCTGCCTTCAGCCTACAGCTGGCAAGGGAAAGCTGGAGTACGGGCGCCGAGGAATCGCAGTTACCGTGACCGTGACCCTTTTCTTATCTTGGATTGGAAGGTAAACAACAACAACAAAAAAAAAAACTCCTGCCACACTTAGGTGTGTTTGCAGAGTTATGTCCTTTCTGCAGCTCAGCAGCCAACTTGGCAGGCAAAGTGTGTATATGTGTCCCTGGGCATTCCCCTGTGGAGTTTGGTTTAGAGCAGATGGTCATCACACAGAAGAGGAGCAGCACACACACACAGGACTTCATCAGTAGTGACAGTATGGCTTCCATGCGATTCGAGTGCTAAAGAAGTGAAGTCTTCATGGCAGTCCTTCACTCTGACTGTTGGCAACACCAGCCACTCCCCAGGCGTTGCTGTCTGCCTGCATATGAGGATAGGTTTTTGATTTTTGTGTGTTTGGGAGAAAAAAAATGGGGCTGTACAGCATACAGTCTGAGGAGAGCTGTTGTTGGCTATGCTTAGTTCTTGTTCTACCACGTATTCCGGAATTTTCCCAGGAGTTTTCTTTGTCGTGTGCTTCTTATCTCTGCCTGTAACATGGGAATGAAGCTTTTTAAGATTTCGGGCTATGCATGTACAAACAGTGCCTAGTGCACTGGAACTGCCTGGCTTTACTGTAAGGAATCAAAAGGTGATTAAATGATGAGGGTGTTAACCTACGAATCTGGAGACTTAACCTGGTTGTTCTGCTGCTGCCTTCTTCCTGCCCCCATCAAATAATTTAATACCTCTGAGCACCCTTTGGAGAGAGAAGAGCCAAAGTATTCCCTTTCCTTGCAAAAGCACTGTGAATAAAGAAGCATTAAGACAGGATGCTAATAAATATGGTAATAGAGGATCTAAGAAATAGCTGAATAAGATAGTAATTTATAGTAATGCACTGACTCAAAAAATGGGGTAATGAATGATGGGACCATTTAAAAGAAAGATGAAAGTTTGATTTTCTCTGCTGAAGATCTGATGAAATCTTTTCAGTTGTCTGCTGAAAGGTTTCTGTTGTATATGAACTGAGCAGCTATTTTCTGTAGCTGAAAGTACATCTAATAAATGCCATAGAAATCAACTTAGAATAAAATCCATTTCTTGAAGAGGGTAAAGGTGGTTCTTTGAAATCACAGGCTGTGCTCAGGAGTGATCTTTTGTCATCCTGAAGGCCCTCTGGGGTTTTGGAAATAACCTGCAACATACTTAAAATAGAAAAAGTGAAGTTCAGACTCATTGCAGCTTCTAGAGCAGCATTCATGTTGTTGGACTGGGACTCTTGAATGCCTGAGCCAATTCCTCTTCTGCAGCATGAAGTAATAGCAGAGTGGATTTCTTGTAAGTATCTTGCATAAGTATGAGATGGAGGTAAAATGCAGGTCAGATAGATGCTGATCGCAACAGCAATTTCAGAGTATAATAAAATCTGATTTGTCTTTTAACCTCTTGATGAAATGCTTATTTTCCTAATTCTGGCAGGAACCTTGTAGAAACAGCAAGTGCAGGCTGCAGTCACCCTAGGCTGCTCTAGCCCATGCTCAGAGACCAGCTTTTAACAGCAGGTCCCTTCTGATATGTACAGTCAAGCAGCATGATGAGAGGCACTGGAGGAAGAGGGCCAGAATGGAGGAGGGAGTTAAGAATTTACACGGAGATCAACCAAGAGTCTCAAAAACTGCACAATCATCTTAGCAATTGCTGGTGGCTTGCCTGGAAAAGGTCTCTTCTCCAGCTGCTCTGCTTGTCTGCTCTGTCACGTGTTGCTGGGGAAAGCCAAGGGAAAGCAAAACTGTCTCTGTGAAAGGCACACACGTCACTCGAGAGCAGCACACTGTGTCTGCTTTGGGAAACAGGCTCAGGGCCTTAGCCAGGAGCCTTGGGATTAGCTACTGGGAGCTGCTACTGACATTTTTACTGGGCCTTCAGTTCTCCAGTGTGTCTGTTCCCTGGGTGGCTTCTGCATCTTATTTTACAGCACTGACCATACTTGGCTGCAGCCTGAGTTTCTGCTGCGTGGCAGTAACTGTTTTGGGGATCCAGAGCTGTTCATTAGAAGAGCTCCTCATTTTCTCTTCCCTTTCTTATGCTGAGTTTTTAGAGGCATCAGAGCACATTGGCTTTAACAGGAAGGAAGCATCCTGCCATGAGATTGTCTAGGGCTCTAGATTAAAATGGAAAAAGCTCACACACTTTGATTTCTTTTGCATGATAAGAACTGTGATGACTGCTGAGGTATTGTATTTGCAGCGTACTGATAACATCTGGTCAGTATTTTTAGGTGTCAGTATTTTTAGGTGTCAGTATAATGCAGCATGGTGAACTGTTTTCTTTTTATTCCCTTGTGGCTGTTCTGTGAAGGGAGACAGTAGATATTCTTCATATTTAACAGCTAGAATTTTTTTTTTACCACAGATTTCTGATGCTAATATTATTTCTCTTAGATACAGTATTATTACTATGTGAGCACGTGTTTACCTCCAACAAAAAGTGAACTTGAGCTCTCTGATTTACAGCTGTGACGGTGCTTTCTAACCCATGACATTAAGAGCTCTGGAAAGTCAGAGCACTCTACTGCAGTGACATAAATGATTATAAGTAACTACATGGCATGGGAAGCCTATGGAATAACAGGGAATTAAACCTGGGGTCTCTTGTACTGCAGGTTGAGGCATTAATAGCCTTAATAACAGGATTATTCTCTCACTAGAAGTTCTGGCCTCTAACCTTGTACAGGACTAGTGAGAATTGGCTTAGTCTTGAGTGGTACAGTTCATGAGAATTTGCTTAGTCTTGAGTGGTAGAAAGCTCTGAAATGAAAATCAAATTCTTCTGCCAAGGAAGATGCAATTAGGTGTACGTGCTTAGAGATGCTCTACAAATGGATATATCTAGGTTTAGAAAGCGCTTGATCCATTTGCCTTCATGGAGAGATTCACTGTAAACAAGGATAATAGGCTTTAGTACCCATTTCACAGATGCTATTATTTCATTTTGCTTTCATTTACTGTAATTGTACTTCACCAATTTCCCCCCATCAGAAACCACCCAATTTCTAAAGGTTGCATCCTGTTCATTTTTGCAGTTTCCTGGTAATAACCAAATAACCAAACTTCTTAGGACCTCATTTAGGTCACTTGGGTGTTCCTGATGTGTTTTTGAGCACTTGAACCAAGGAAAACAAAATCAACCTCAGTGTCCTGGGGCCTTGTTTGGAATTGAAAGCAGAGGTATTTGTGCTCTAGAAAAATAAGTTTTTATCAACTTCCTTTTTTAATGGTGTGGGGTTTTTTGTTTGTTTGGGGGTTTTTTTTGTTTTGTTTTTTGTCTTTGGTATGTTCTCTGAAGAGCTGGGGAAAGAGTAGGGCAGAGGTAAATCAGTCAGGTTTTGATGGAGTCAATACTCCAAGGAGGAGGGAAGCAGAAAATCTCAGTTGTGTACCCAGTCCCATCTGAGCTTGTCACTGGGGAATTCAGGTATTGATGGTTCGAATCAGGCAGAGGGGACTCAGACTGAGGTCTCTGGGCACAGATTTGCTTGTGGGAGTAGAAAAAAATGCAGAAGAGAATTGCTACTGAATTGATTCAGACCACTTCAGGTCGTTCTAAACCTAAGTTTGGCTTTGATTTTGATTCCCCCCAATAAAGGTTTCTCTGTAGCCCCACCTGGATGCAGTCACAAGAAGTTCATGCCAGAGGAGCTATTGGGTTTGTGTCTGTAAAAGAAATTCTTTCAAATACTGGCTGCTATCAGCTGACAGAGTCGTCAGCAGCGTGTGATGATGAAGAGACTGTGAAAGAGAAACTCTGTGAGGCTGCAGAGAGCAGAGGCTGCCACACTGCACCTTTTAGAGCAAGAGTGCAGCTGGAGTTTGTTACAGCAGCTCGATGCTCTGAATTTGTAAGTTGTCACTAGCAAAAAGTGCTTGAGCAAAGACTGGGTGGCTCGGGTGGCTTTCCAGGCAGGCAGAGGCTTTGGGATTCAGCTGAGTGAGCTGCAGTGTGCAATACAATCCTCTCAGTTCCCAGAAGTGGGGTGGTATTTTGGCAGCATGTCTTGCTCGCCTCACGTATGACTTTCTGAATGCAATTCAATCATGCTGTCTTGCTCACAGTCAGGCTTAGCTGAAGGGGAGAATGAAGGGACACAGTGAAAATGGGGTCTCAAAAGTTGTTGGTGTAATGAGAAGCAAATTCACAGGGAAAGCTGCAGGGATTTTCCTTCCTAAGTCTGGTTTCACATGAGGAGAGAAGGGCTAAGCCTATGGAATCGCTCCATGGACCGATGATCTGAGGTAGCAATGATGGTCCCAAAGGCTTGGAAACTTGGATGAGCAATTGCAGCTTAGATGTTTTCACTCTCACAGCCAGGTAACAGCAGGGGCTAGAGAAAGCAGCATCTCCCCAGGGAACTGTTAGCATTGCTCTGCCTTCTACACCCTGGATTTCTGAACGCCTGCCACAGCTGAGACTGCTGAAGCTGGGGGTGTCTTTTGCTGTTTGTGTGCCAACCTCCAGTCTTAATGTAAGCTCTGAAACACTTCTGGCCTAGCTGAAATGCTCCTTCCAAAAGCAGTGCCTGAGGAGCTTCGCCTGTAGCTGTATATTTTCGGACAAAATGAGAATAAAGCCTGTTCTTCCTCCAGCTGGTTAAAAACGTGCATTTTGAAGAAAACACTACTGCAGTTAAGAGGCTGGGCAAAAATAGTTATGCCCCCTTCCCCCCTCCCCTAAGTGGTTTTCTTGTGAAAAGTAAACACTAGGCAAGAACAGAGGAAGGTGCAGAGGAAATTGGCTGTGGGTTTAGCAGCCTGAGCTCCCATCCAGCTCAGGTGGAGCAGCACACAGGAATCCGAGTGCTGGTGGATTAGTGTGAAGAGTGAGAGGGCTTGAAAGGTGAGGGAGCTCAGCTGAGAGCAAACATGACCTGTGT